TGGACAAACGATCTCGTGCTCGACGAGGGCAGGGCCGCCTGCTTTTGAGAGCTGCTGCAGCTCAGTAGCTGGTAGGACTCATCGTAGTTCCGACCAAAGCGGGATGCGGATGTGTAGGCAATGCAGCAGGCTCAACAGCAATGCCTGCCAATGCTAGTGTGGGAACAGGTGGGCTCCGAAACCACGGGCTCGTAGCCAGCCGAAGCGCAAATCCAGGGGTGCACAAATAGGGGAGATGTGTGAGACGATTCGCACAGCTCCCATAGCCACGCCAGAGGAAACATCTGAGCATACGATTTGGATTCATTTTTGGCACGACCACATGAGTCCCAAAAGGAGCTCGTTCAGTATCGGAAGAATGCCAAGGCCAACATCCCGAGATTTGACAATTTGTTTTCAGTAGCATCGAGGCAGGCAGAGCGTGCTGATCCAGAAATGGCTGACGATGTTCGAATTCACAAACCCAGGATGTCCGCTAGCCACGGACTGCGGAAACATATCAGTGAGTTGCGTACCGAGCTCACCAATGCCTGTGAGAAGTTGAAGACTGTGCCGCGCAAGATCGATGATCTGATTGATGATGGGAAACACTTTGAAGAACGCAGTCGCTGAATTGCACATGCCTTTTGGTCCGCTCCAGGAGAAGGCAGACGACGAGTGGTACATGGACGTGGGCCCACCTGGCGGCAGGCAACATGAGAGGCCCCTAACCGCCAGGCGCTCGGAGTCGGATGCCTGCTCGAAAGCGCCCCACAGCACAAAACCGCACCCGCCGATCCCAGCCGAAACACTTCGAGCACCTCCAGCGAATTGGAGTGCCTGAGTGGCATCGCGCAGATCACCGATGCCACCTAGCACGTCTCTGACCGCCAGGAAGCCCAGGAGCAGAGACTGGCCAGTGTCCTCGCAAGTCACAAACTTCATGAGCATCATCTGTCCGATGTTTTGCGCAGCATGATGTTGTCCACTGTGCGAAGGCGGCGGGCATCGATCCAGCTATCGTTGCAAACGCAACGTGGCTCCTCGTATGAGGTTTACCCAGCCTGGTCAGCTGCCGAAGACGCAAGCTGCTGGCAAGCAGGTGCCGCGGTTGCGTTCCGACATGCTAGCGACGATGGGCCATCACGACCCCTTTATGCCCGCCCGCAACGTTGGCGCGGCGCATCGTGCGGCGGAGCCGACCCCGACGATTCAGAGTGCGCGCGTCCCCCCGCCGTCGCCGCTGCCGCCGCCACCGCCGCCGCCGCAAAGGCCACCGCTGCCCCCCCCGCCCGCCCCGCCGCCAGCAGCGCCGCTGGCGCCGATCCTGGGCGCGGCGTCACTGGCGCCAGCGCGGAGGTCAGCCGAGGTCCAGATGAAGGCGACGCCAATTTTTCTGCGGCGCCGCCAGCCAGACCAGGATTCGGCACGCCAGAGGTCTTCCGCCGCTCGAACGAGGCGACCTTCCCTAAGACGCCAAACGCGGAGCCGCCCTCGCCCGCGCAAGGACGCAGGCGGCCAACGGCTTCGAGAAGGAGGGGCCTGCGAAAAAGGAGGGGCACCTCTCGCGCCACCAGCGGCGCCCCCGACGCTGCTCGACCCGACGCGGCCCGTCGGCCAACAGGAGCACGCCCCAGGGCCGATTCCGCATCCTCGAGCACGTCCAGCACTATCCGATCGAGGTCACGCAGTCATCGACCCCCAGCCGCCGCCACCGACGCCGTCGCAGCCACAGTGGGTGGCTCCTGCAGCGGCGCCAGGCGCGGCAGCGGCCTGCGGCAAAGAACAGTGCAGCGGGCCACGGGACGGCCGCCAGCAAGGCGCGCCGGGCGCGGGCCCAGCTTCCCCTGCGGCGAAGGAGGCGGGCCACGGCGACGCGCGCGAGGGGGCCGCGCCAGTCGACGCGTTCGCCCCACCCCCAAACCCCCCCCCCACGCGGAGGGCCGCGGAGTTCAGGAGTGCCAGGGCGCCCCCCCCACGGTGAGGGCCGAGAGCGAAGGTTGTCTCGTGAGGAGACCCGAAGCAGCCGCGAGTGTCCGAGTGGGGCGCAGTGCCCGCCAGAGCCGCCCCACTGCAGCTCAGACGCTTTTGTTTTTTTTGTCTGTCGTGTTTTGTGTTGTTTGTGTTTTTCTCGCGCGAGCATGGGCCTGTGGCCGTCTGCTGGAGCGATGCGAGTGCAAGGCGACCGTCAACGGTAGGGCGTTCAGCAATGCGGTATGGATGCGCTTCCAGTTTAAGGTGCCGCGCAGTTGACTGCGCAGCCGCGAAACTTTAAACAGTGTAGGCCCGCGGCCGAGCGGCCACCTCGCGCTCGCCATGCCCCCGAGCGCCGCGCGCAACCTGCCGGCCCTGCGCGGCGCAAGCAGCATCGGGGGCCGCGTCTGTCTACCTCGTCGATCAGAACCCGACGAAGATCGGGCGCCATCATCCCAGCTCGCGTTTGGAAGGAATCGCGGGGCGCGCATTTGCAGACCGCCAATGCCTCCGTTTTCTTCGCCGGCGTCTTCCCCGCAAGGCGGCGAACAGCGCGATGCTCGCGCGTCCAGCTCCCCCCTCCAGCCCATGGCCCGCGCCGGTAGAGGACGCGTGTTTCCCCGGATGCAAGGGGCGAGAGCACCGAGGGCAGTGGTGCTTCCGGCCGTCAGTATTTCTCGCAGGCGATTGGAAGGCAAACGAACGCCACCAACACCACCGCCCGAGGAGCCACCCAGGCTACCGCGGGCCCCGCTCGAGAGGCAAGGGTTGCTCAAGACCTTTCGGGGTCCACGTTGCGAGAAAAAACACGACGTCGAAGGTTTGGGGAGGAGGAGGGGGAAGAGAAGGAGGAAGGAGGCAAGTGGAGGCTGAAAAAGGAGGAGGGGGAGGAGGACGGCGGAAGTTCCTCGAGGTTCTTCGACGCGTTTCGCCCTTCGCGGGCTTCCAGGGGGCTCCGGGTCGCCACGGCGGGATCATCGTCGATACTCTTGGCCAGACGGCCTCCAGGAGAACTCGGTGTGTCCGGGGTCTGTTTGCAGGCTCGCCGTGACACACAATTTGCCCCATTAATACAGGAGGCTTCGTCCTCGGTGGCCAGGCCCCTGTCGGCCGTGAAACAAGAACATTACGTTCCGGTCCTTTTGGGCCCCTTGTCTTCTTCGACCTGCGCCCTGCCTTGAAATACGCGTCCCGTCCATGTTTTGAATATTTTCAAAGCCCCAGAACTTAGATCCTTGGATCGTTCATGTTTCCGCTTCCTCATCAGATCATTCTTTTTCGTCGAACACCCCACCAAACGTGTCGATGTTGCGAACCCGGGGCCTCGCCTGAGACTTCCTCGCCGGTTCTGGTCCGAAGGCTTGGCGTGCCCAATGTGGGCGGGAAGCGGTTCGGCCGTCGCCGTCGCGCCGTGCGCACTCCCGTGGAACAGCCGGCCACTCCCTCTGAGCAGCCGGCAGGTGGTGTTGCAAGTGCGCTCTCCCCAGTATAGCGCCGCGTGCAGCATCTCCAAAAAGGATTCCAATGTCCAAACTGACGGGAGCGACCCCTTCTCAAAATGGGGCCTTCGCCTGAGGTGTCGTCACGTTTTATGAAATGTAAACCGGCGGACGGCGGCTCCTTTTCAAAATTGGGGTGTGGCTCATGTTATACCAAAGTGTGAAACGTTTACACATGTCTAGTGGACTTAAGTTTCAAGTTGGGTCGATCGCTGGACGCGTCCTTGATTCCGATGGTTATACGTATTCGCAGCTCTGGAGCAACGCACATCCGTTATAACAAGAGGATCCCGCTTGAGGAGCCTATCCTGTAGTGCAAATAATCGTTGTAGGGAATCACACGGGGCGGTCTTAGGACGGGAGGATGTATTGCAACATCGTTGATGCATCCTAGGTTTACACCCGTACTCCTCCTTATCATCCTCAGATTCGCCCTCCTCCCCGCGAGGCGTGGGACAGGACGTTCATCAGGCCAACGGAGATTACGTCCTTCGACAAGTTCGTGGACAGGCTGGGGAAGCAGTTCGTGCCGCTGCAGAAAGCCCTCGGGCAGGCAGAGAGGGACGTCGAGGACGCCGCCGAAGGGGATCGGATCAGATCGGCCATCCACGAATCAAGTGTCAAACCCCTGTGCGTACCAGGCGAGTGCCAGTTCCTCGTGCAGAGCAGCCGAGGGCGGCCCCGCGAGGGACCGAGAAAGCGAGCGGGGACCAACAAGCCCCGAAGCGCACAGCCGAGCTCCAGAAGTTCGTTGAGGGAAGCCTACCCACCAGATGGGCTTGACCGTGTAGCTCCTCCGTGGCGCCTGCGGTGCCGCCCGCTCGATGGCAGGAGCCGGAGCGATATACCTGGGAGGACGCGCAGGCCCAGCCCCGCGAAGAACGAACGCCACCCCACCGCGTCGTGGAAGTCACCAGTTGCGCCCAACCGCCGACGGGGAGGAGGAGGAGGAGGAGGAGGAGGACCAGTGTAAACCTAAGATTCATTGGCGATGTTGCGATAAACCCTCCCTCCAAGTTCCCTCTTTACAGGTCCCTACAAGGACAGATCTTTACCGAGGGCAGTGCCCCGTCGGAAGACAAGCGTCTGAACCTCCTGAGCTGTGCCTGAACGCCATTCCTGGAATTTCAGCGCAACGAATCAATGAGACTGTTGCGCCCTGACGATCCTGAACCGTGCCAGAGCACCATTCCTGGGACTGCGACACCGCGAATCAACGTTACCGTTGCGCCCTGACGGTCCTACATCGTGCCAAAGCCAGTTCTGGGACGTCAGCCATGCGAACCTTTGAGCTGCTGTAAGCTCTGGATGCACATGTGTGCCGCGCTAGGCGAGGGCCACCTTTAGAAAAAAGGTACCGTCCTCCATCCGTGGGACTCGTGCAAACTGTTGAGAGGACTGTGTTTGGCCGCAGAGCGAGAGCCACATGTTCAGAACGGCCCGCCCTCCATCCATGAAGCTCGAGCGAGGGCCACACTTCGTAACTGGTGAGAAAGGCCCAGGCGAAGCGCCTGGTCCGCCCTACCAGCACCATCTCGGGGTGCGGCAGATGGGGAGGAGGTATTCATGAGGAAACGGATGGAGGAGTTCTGTTCGGGAAGAGGCGGCCCGGGGCCCAGGGGACCAGTGAGGACGGCCGGCGGGCCGCCCCACATAATTTTGTCCCCAAACAGCTTGCGGAACGGGGTGCTGTTGTGATAGAAGCTAGCTCCGGCCGAGGGAAATCAAAGCAGAGACGTCCTCAATAACATTTGGTGGTCCGGGCCGTTTCGCCTGAGACATCCTCCAAATCGGGTTTCTGAGCTGTCCAGGATAGGCGTTTCGGTGAGACATCCCTCCAAACTCTGAGTTCACCAGATGCGCCAAGAGAGTGTTCTGGCCCGATTTCCCGTGAGACATCCTCGCGCCGAACTCGAACTCCCAGATGCGAGAGAGGTGGTCCGGACCCGTATCGCCATGAGACATCCTCCAACTTCTGAAGCTCTGAGATGCCTGCGCGAGGTGCGAGGGTGGTCTGGCCCGTTTCGCCTGAGACACTTAGCAACTCTGAGTTCAGAAGAGCCGCAGCAAGAGGTGGTCAGCCCGTTTCGCCTGAGAATCCTCAAACTCTGAGCTTGTTCCCAGCGCGCCGCGGAGAGGTGGTCCGGACCAGTTCGCTGAGACATCCTCCAAACTCCTGTAAGACCCCTGATATTGCCGTGCGCGAGGTGGTCGAGCCGTTTTTTTGCCTGAGACATCCTCGAAGCCTCTGCGCTCTCTGATGCCGCGCGAGAAGTGGTCCGGCCTGTTTCGCCTGAGACATCCTCCAAACTCTGAGCCCTGATATGCCGTGCGCGAGGTGGTCTGGCCCGTTTTGCCTGAGACATCCTCGCAACTCTGCGCTCTCTGATGCCGCGCGAGTGGTGGTCCGGCCCGTTTCACTTGAAACATCTTCGCACTGTTGCATTCCGAGATGCCTCGCGAGAGGTGGTCCGGCTCATTTCGTCTGAGACGTCCTCCGAACTCTGAGCTCTGAGATGCCGCGCGCGAGGTGGTCTGGCCCATTTCGCCTGAGACATCCTCGCAACTCTGACCTCGGAGATGCCGCGCGCGACGTGGTCCAGCCCGTTTTGCCTGAGACATCCTCACAATCCTGAGCTCTGAGATGCCCTGCGCGAGGTGGTCCAGCCCGTCTCGCCTGAAGCATCCTCGCAACTCTGAGCTCCGAGATGCCGCGCGAGAGGTGGTCCAGCTTGTTTCGCACAAGACATTCTCGCAACTCTGAGCTAGATGCCGCGCAAGAGGTGGTCCAGCCTGGGGGCCCAGAAGACCACATGTTACATATCCTCCCTGGGAGCCCCAGGAGGCGCCATAGAGCTCCAGGAGGCCGCAGGACGCCCAGGACAGGCCCCAGGGGTCCCCAGGAGATTCCCAGGAGGCTCCCAGGAGGCCCCAGGAGGCCCCCTATCAGAACGTGTCAAATTCATACACATCCAGTGTCGATTCGTTGATTTTTCCGGCTCTTGTGCCCCCCCTCCATTTTGAGGGGCCCAAGCGGCCTCATGTTAGATATCCCCCCTGGGAGCCCCAAGAGTCTTCAGGAGGCCCCAGGTGGAGTCCAGCCGCGCGCGAGGTGGTCCAGCCCGTTACGCTGGAAACATCCTCGCAACTCTGGGCTCCGAGATGCCGTTCGGGATGAAGAGGAGGTGGAGAAGGAGGAGGAGGAGGAGGAGGAGGAGGAGGAGGAAGGAAGGAGAAGGAGAAGGAGAAGGAGAAGGAGGAGAAGGAGAAGGAGAAGAAGGAGATGGAAGGGAGAAGGAGGAGGATGATGTGGATGGGGGAGCAGGCAGGAGGAGGGGGAGGAGGAGGAGGAGGAGGAGGAGGAGGAGGAGGAGGAGGAGGAGGAGGAGGAGGAGGAGGAGGAGGAGGAGGAGGGAGAAGGAAGGGAGTTGCAGGAGAGGACCTAACGGGAAGCGAGTGCGATGTGGACTTGTCAAAACGTGTGCGAAAGATTGTCCGGCCCGTTTCGTTTGAGACATCCTTCCAATACTGAGCTCCAAGATGTCGCTCGCGAGGTGGTCCGGCTCGTTTCGCTTGCCGCCTGGCTCCTCTTCCCTCCTCTCTCCTCCCGCCTCCCACCTCCCGCTGCTGCGCCTCTGCCTCCGCCTCCCCGTCCCCGCCGTCGTCGATTCTGCCGCCTCAGCATCCGTCATGCGCGCCTTGCCTTCCGCCCTCCCCAGACATCCGACGTCACGATTTTTCTTTTGAGACGTGCGCCGCGTACCTCTCGATATCACTCCCGGGGGATACATCACGACATGCCCCCCCGCTGCCGCGCCCTCCCCCGCTTCCTCTTAGAGTTGCTTCCGAGTTCACAGCATGGCGGTGGAGCCTCTCACAGTGCCGACCCGACAGCTTACTCGTCGACCAGGTGCGAGAGAGTACGACACCCTCTAGCTTTAGCTACTGATAAGCATGCGTCACACAAGTCTTCGTGTAAACACCTCATGTGCAAACATCATGTTATCATGTTTTCACATGCCATGCCAGCCCGCACCGGACGGGCACGCAATCGACCTTGGAAACCGCAGTGGGTTTAAAGACCTTGATTGGGGATACTGCACTCCGGCTATAACTGCATTCAGGAATCTCTGAGTCGTTCTGTTTTGTGGAATCTCCGAGCCCAGTCAGCGAGCGCTGACGGTTTTGCACATCGAGGAGGAGGAGGAGGAATATGAGGGTGAGGAGGGTGATGAAGGACGAGGAAGAGGATGAGGATGATGAGGATGAAGAGGATGAGGATGAGGATTGAACATTGAAGGGGATGATGATGAGGAGGAGGAGGAGGAGGAGGAGGAGGAGGAGGAGCAGGAGGTGGAGGAGGAGGAGGAGGAGGAGGAAGACGGGCCACGACCCACGGCGGATGTGCTCGTCTTACCAAAGCCTGTGCTATGTGAGGCCGCACCTATGGACCTCGTCGACGGTCGTCCGGGTCTATTTCGTAGAGTTCCGTGAAGGAGAGGCTGGCGCCTTTGCTCTCCGCTGAAGCGCCGTCGCTCCCCGCAGGGGTGGTCGGCCCCCCTCCCCCTCCTCGGGAGCCTCCCCCACCCCTCCCTCGTTTTTTCGTTGTCCCCGTGGCCTAGGCCACTGCTGCGCGCCTTCTCTGCTGCATCCCTCGCCCGTGCTCCTGTCACCTGGGAGTGTCTCGGGGCGGCGGCTGGCACCCCTTCTCTGGTTGGGCGGGAGGCCGAGGTGAAGGAGGAAAACGCCGCTTGAGATCGGGGTTGGGTCACCGCGAGCTTCCCGCTTGTAGGACGGTGAGCAAGGTCAAAGCAGTCGGGGTTGGGTTTTCGCTCGGCGATCACTTAAGTTTCGCTAGGCGATCACTTCAGTCTCCGGCGGTCGCTACCTACCATCCCCTGAGGAGACAGAGCTCACGCTGGAGTCTATCAAGAAGGCGCGGGCTGGACCAAACGAAAGCGATAGTACGCGACCACTTCCCAATCCACTTCTGCCTTCCTCCGCACGCGGAAGCAGGAAGCAAGGCATGGATGTTTGGTGATAGGTTGAAATCGAGAACAGGCGTTCAGCAGTGTGCCTGCATGCGTGCGTATAGCCGCGCTCTTCGCGTTTTCGAGCAGGTGACTCAGATTCGATACGCGTGTGACTTGGCCACGACAGACTGCAAGCAGGTGAGCAGGTGCGTGCTCCTCCATCTGAAATCCCACCTCCCCTCCTCCCCTCATCTCCAACGCTTCGAGGCCTGGGAACGCCTCCTCCTCTTGCTGCGGCCCCACAGTTTTTTTACACATCTCGCCCAGGCGCAGCTCAGACAGACAGCGGCGCGCTCGCCTGTTGTGGTTGTCGTCCTGGGATGAAGATGTCGAGCCGCGGCGGCATGGTTCCTTCTGCTCCCTCTCGGCTGGAGACCACCGCGCTCCGAGCGTATAGCCCGGTTGATTCGAAGTAATATGAGTGCTTGGTTGGACTGAGCCAGCCCCATGCGCTCTAGCGGGGCGTTTCGAGAATAGGCGGCCGAGGGTGCAACCGATGCTGCAAGTATAAAGAGAAAAAAACTCCCTGGCGTTTAAAAGCAGCCGAGGGAATTTACTTAGCAGCCTTGCCCTGTTGGATTCCTTCCTCACGTGCGTTTAGTACACGGCTTCATCGAGGTGCTTATTCTGAGGGCCTCCTGCCCTCTACAACAGCAGGCCTTTTCGGATTTGGGCGACAGCGGGCGACGCAACCATTAGCAGGCGGTGTCAAGTTTCGGCGGTCGCAACCTCTGCCTGCAGCCAAATCGCGGGCTGTTGGAGCCTCGGCCGCCCAGTGCGCAACCCATTGCTCGGAGGATGAAAAGGTACAGATACTGCTCCTCCCTCCCCCGTTTCCCCCCTTGTTGCGCCTCCTGGGAGGCCCTCGTCGCAGCGGCTGGACTCGCCTCGAAATCCGGGTCCGAAAGCACCCTGGGAGAGGTCCGGGGAGCAGCCGGATCGGTACCTCTTTGGCTCCCCCCGGTGAGGAGGCCGTTCAGCACTTCTCGACGGCCAGGGGCGCGAGTTGCGGTGCAGCCCACCGCAGGCAGTTTCGAGATTCGGCGGCCGAGGGCGCAGCCTCTGCTGCAACCGGGTCGTTCTCGCAGCATCGGCGGGCGAGGGCGCAGCCCTGCGCTGCAAGCGGTGAGCGGGCCGTTCGGGGCTGGGGCGGCCGAGGGGGTGCCGCCCCGGGCGGAAGCACAGGAGCCGCGGGCCGCGGGAGGCCTCGGCATCCGGGGGCGCAGCGTACGCAGCACGGCCCAAGTCACGGCGCAGCCCCCCGCGGCACGAGTTTCTGGTGCAGCCTGCGGCGCAACCTGTGGCATTACCCCCAGCGCAGCCTCTGGCGCAGCCTCCAGCACAAGCTGCGCAGCATCGCATGGTGGCGCAGAGCCCGTGGCACGCACGGGGTAGGGGGCCACCCGTGGCACAGGTGGGCGGACTGCTCGACGCCTTGTCTGCCCTCATGGCTTCTCCGGGCTGCGTCAGATCTACGCTCGCAGTTTAGGCTGTGGTGCAACGGGGCCCACGCGG